ATCCAGTATTCATACATACCTGCATTTCTAACGACTATGAACAATTTATTGATGAAAGCCCCCGAGCCATACTCCATTTGGTGAAAAATTTAAGACATCCTTAATTTGATACTTATTTGGTAAAAGGATTAGAGGTGCAAAAGAGACGTTTTTTCATTAAATTTAAATTTGATGACACAGTAAATACAACGTTAAAAATGATCTAATGTAATAATGTATGTTATTAAAATAAGTCAATAATATATCGAACATAAAAAAATAAAATAAAAATTAGCTCCACGTGTATAACTTGACTTTTCATCTACCTGGCTTTTTTCCCACCAAAACTTTTTTAGAATTTTTTTGAAAATTTATTACGTATCAAAATATCATGTGTCCATATTTTTTCATTAGTTATAATTTATCATGTTCTCTTATATTTCTCAATCATTGTACACAAAATTATAATACCCCACTTTCTTCACCAATCATAACATTGTAGAGTATCACATGACCGTACTTCAGAAATACCTAATAATCACCCGAATTTTCTCACCAAAATTGTTTTCTCAATAACAATTTAAAGAGATGATTTTAATGTGCTTAATTTTCATTTGACATCAATGAGAGTTCAAGAATTTTTTTTGTTTTAAAGTAATAAGCTGATAATGTCACCATATCATTTTATACAAGTTTTTTGTATGTCTTTTTGTGAATGTATAGCATTACTCATTGAAGAAACATTGGCAATTTAGAAACTTAATTAAAGGTAAATTGCAGCGATAATTCTTATATTTTAATTAGCTCGATTTTGTTCTTAAATTTATGATTTCATCTCAATTTCATTCAATAGATTACAATTGTTAGACATTGATGTATTTTTTTTATTTTTATCATTAATAAAGGAATCTCTTTTGTTGATTGAAAAAAAAAAAAAAAAAAATTAACCACATCAGTAACCATTTTCTTTCAGAAGTTCTAATCAATGTTATCAATTAGACTAAACTAACATAAAATTTTAAATTAAAAGTTAAAATCAAACTAATTAAAATTACATGAACAAAAATGATAAAAACAACAAAATATAAGAACCGTATTGTTAAAGCACATGTTAAAAAAATAATAAATGACTCTAACGGCCCCTACTAGTATGAAAAATGTTGAACAAAACTATAAATGAATTTAATATTTTTTAGATAATTAATAAGGCTCGTATCTTATTTTGTGTGGATGAAAATACCCCGGTCTTGGGAGACCAAATTGCAGTTATCAAACAGTTCCAAATATTGCGTTGAGACAGTGAAAGCTAATTTGTTGGGAAAAAAAATAATAAACAACACAGTGAAAACTAATCAAACAAAACAATAGACAATAAAGTAGAAAGAGAGTAGTACATCAATAGGACGAAGCCCATATGCAATGTAATAGAATAGAAATCTAAACAGACATTTGCTTAAACTTCCACATAGAAATCTGCAAAACCTTGAAGTCCAAAAACAGAAAAAATGAAGGCGACATATGCCCTAAAAGCCAAAGAAAAATAAATAAATAAATAACAACACCACCACACACCAAACCTCCCAAAAGCATCTTATTCTTCAGGCTAATAAAGATAAACAAACAAAAGTAGAAGCATAATATATATATATAAGTCCTGTTTGGTAGAGCTGTGGGAAAGTACTTATAGCTTATGCGTAAACAGCTTATAACTTATAACTTTCAGCTTAAGCTGATTTACAGCTTATTCTTAAAGCATCTCCTGCCCCACTCAAAGAATAAGCTGATTTCTGACTTCCACAAAGCTATAAGCTATAAGCTATAAGTTATAAGCTAAACCAAACACATCAAAATAACTTAAATTAAGCTGTAAGCTGAAATAAGCTGTAAATAATTTCTGCCAAACAGGCACATATATATATATATATATATAGAAAGTCTTGAGCGCATTGTCCTATACGTCATGACCTTTCTAACAAATAGAGCAGCATCTGAAGGCGTTGACTCCGACACCGTGAGATGCACGGGATTTCATAAACTGCCCTCGAGACATAAACCAACGTAGCAAAAGCATATGATGTATAGGAAAAAATTATAGCATAAAAGGACGCTGGTGATATGACTACAAATGACATTCCATAGCTCAACATCAGAAAGACTAGGGTTGGGAACAATAACACACCAAAAAGTGTTGATGGGATAACAAATATGATCACCATGACTGAAGTAAGAAAGCATACCGTGTTCAACACATAAAAATTTTCGAAGAAAGATCTGTATGTGAAGACAGATCCGTATACCTTAGTTTTTTTTAATAAAACTCGCTTGGAAGGATCCACTGTGGCGGTGGGGTTGGTGGTGGTGGTGTTGGAGAATATGGTGGCGTTAATATAACTGACATTATTAGTAGGAATAAGGTTGTTGTTGGTGGTGGTGGACATGATAGTGGCATTAATATGGTTTTCGTTGGTAGTAAGCTGTTTATTATTGTCTCCAGTTCCTCCCCCTACTACTCCACCAGGGGGGTTAAGTATAGCTTGAAAAGTAGCCGTTGCAATTAGAACAGCTACAACCAGTATTGTATTCCGCACCTCCATTGTCAATTCTCTTCTATGATAAAACCATATTTGGGCGAAAACTTCAATTGCCCTCTACGGCGACATAAAAAATTTAGCAAAACTATAATCCTCAAGATGTGATGTACTTTTTGAAGCTCCTGCATGGTCTAAGCTTCCTTAATTTCTCTTTCGGCCTCACCAGGATCAACAACTGTTGTTGCAATGTCAAGTGCTATTCGGCCCGCCAAATTCTTTTCATTTTTTTCCAGGTTGAATGTCGTATTAAGTAAAAGCAAAACTTTCACAATCTGCATAAGAGAAATGTATATGAAATCATTAATTAATATAAAATTACAATATGCAACGGAGAGATCACTGCATAACACATTCTTTATAAGTAGACATGACATGGAAATAAGTGGCTCTAATGTTACGCTTGTGTTTAATGATATAAAAATTGATTATATATATATATATATGTATGTATGTATAACATTGTTCATAATTATGTAACACATTATAATTCAAAACAGAGCACATCACTTTACTGTTAAATATACATTTTTTTTATTTTTAAAATAAATAGCAAGGGAAAAAAAAACGTTATAGTAATTTCATAATGTTGAAATTTGTCATACCTGGTCCACTTTACCATCTACAGGTCACAGATTTTAATTCTTCCGGAAAAACTTATTTTAGAGTTTTGTTCAACTCAGAGACGGACCGTAGAAGACAGTGAGAGTCCATGGCCCCCTGCTCACTTGAACATACTGCTATTAGTATTTGCAAATAGCCTGTTCTTTTCATTTTATACTTATATGGCCCCTCCCCCATTGAACGTCTATGAATTTTTTTTCCTTATCTCAAATAAAAGAGCACTTTGTTTATTCTTTTTCTTTATTCATTAGTTGGACTTGGAATATTAATTTATGATGAAATATCTATTTATATTAAAATATCTTGTAATCAATCAATTTATGATTATTGATTATATATTTTTTTTATTCTAGTTAATGGACAATGTGGAGTTAATTATATATTTTTAAAATTCATTGTTAGGGAATATACATTCCTAAAAAAGAATACTTTTCGTAATTTTACTATATTGATTCGTGATAAAATTAGAATGATTCGTAACTTTTCTCATCATAATAGCTCATGATATTTTAATATTTTATGTGTGTATGAGAGGGTTCAAGAACGTCGTTGGAAAAGTCAAAAATTTTCGAAGATCCTTGAAGAAAAATTCTAATTCTCTAGAAGATGATAAGAGTCTTAGATTCTTCAATAGTCTCAACTAAGAACACAAAAGTAAAGAGATGATGGAGATAAGAGATTGGGTGAAGAAGAAGCCAAAGTAGCTAGAGAGAGAATAATGGCAAAACTCTCCCATAGATCTCCCACTTTCACTCTCAAGGTTGATAATGGAGAAGGGAAATTAGTTCTTTCCCAAGAGTTTTCTCTCCAAAATTCATCCCTTGTAAATGTATGGATAGGTGCTATTTATAGGCAACTCATGATGTAAGATGAAGCCCATATGCAAGGCACATGGGAAATATTAACCACCTTGTCCGAGGAGGTGACCTCTCCGAGGATGAGGAAAACCTTGAAGAGGAGATCAACCTCTCGGCGAACCCTTTTTCTTAGTCACACCTAACCAATGATCCCCAATCATCCCAAAGGGTCAGGGGTAGTCTCAGAGGATGTCCTACCGCATAAGGGTCAGGGGTAGTTCAAGAGAACGCCCTGTCTCAAGGACTCCCTAGATCGTGCCACCTCGACCCAGGTATAGGCTAGTTTAACCGAAGAGTGAATTTATCTCCACTCACCGTCCTCGGAATCGGGTCCTTTGTTCGAACTCCATTACGCCCATGGTTCTGGTGCGTTGATCTCGGAAAGCTCCAAGCCTGCAAGTGTTTTGGGACTCATTAACGGAGCGACTTCTAGATTGCGTCTGAATCAATTCGAAGCCAAGTGTTTCGGATCTCTAGGTTCGTGGATCCGAACCCTTTCGAGTCCGAGTGCCTCAGATCTCTAGGCTTGCTCAATACGCTTTCGAGTCCGGGCCCGAGTAAGTTTCTAAGTTTGTGGATCCAAACCCTATCGAGGCTTAGAGCGATTCAGCCCGTTTGATGGCGATAAATTCGAAGCCACCAACCTTGGACTATCAAGCCCAATTAATTTTGTGGGTTTAAATTAACTCCTCTTACATTTGCCCCTTGAATGTATCAGAAATTTTGAATTTCTCGGACATGCATATTACCATTTCTGCTGCCATGTTGCACCTATTCTCTCGGGAATATTTACCTTGACAGAGTCTATGGATAAAGCTGAGGACTCACTGTAAATTATGAGTAAAGTTGACAACTAATAAAGTTAAGATTTTTTTATTTTTTTTTCCCCTTTTTTTTTAATATAAATTGAAATCATTTTTTTTTTTCTCAGAACATATGAAGATTTTTTTTTTTCACTCCTAGAAAAAAATAAAGCATCCATCATCATCACTTTTATATTTAATATTTTGATAATCCACCATCAAGAATCAATAATAATATTTTGATAATCCATCACCAAGAATCAATAATAATATTTTGATAATCCATCACCAAGAATCAATAATTAAATTTCTCTCCCAAAAAATAGTGAGACGTTTTTTTTTATTTTTTATTTTTTATTTTTTGTGTCTTATCTTGTACTGCTTGGGCCAACGTAACTACAAACCCATCAAAGAAATAATTTCTTCCTGGGAAACAAACAAGCCTTAAAAAGTTTGTCCCCTTTTTTCTTATTTAAGGATGAGGACAAAACCAAATCCTATCACATTTTTCCAGAGCTCATTTCGGCGCGCTCTCTCTCCAAGATGATAGTTACCAGATTGCATCTTCTTCAACGCACTAGACCTTCTACCATTCTTTACAACTACTGAAGACCATCACCATTTGTATGCTGGCCATCGTCGCAGCTCCAAGCAATGCCGCCGACCTACCTCAACGTTGCGAGCCAGCCATCGACTTGTCGCAACTGAAGACCATCACCATTTGTATGCTGGCCATCGTCGCAGCTCCAAGCAACGCCGCCGACCTACCTTAACGTCGTGAGCCAGCCATCGACTTATCGCAGCCCCGACAGCCGTAGGCATCGCGGCCCAAGCTATCACTCACCCGGTGCTTCTCTTCAGTGTAACGAGAAGCTCTTCAAAGACTCAGACACGCCGGAGCTTAGTTTTTGTTGATCAACACCGACGCCAACGCCGACTCCGCTACGTCTTCAAACTGCCTTCGTCCTAAACTGTCCAGTGCCGACTACGCACGTCGCCCTTTCAACGCGGCGTGTGTGTGGGCCTGCCTAGCACTGCTCAGCTCGGCGTCAGCCTTGGGTGTATGCGTCTCACGTTTGCGGTCTTGCCACTACTTCCAGCCGCGATTCTTCATCTTGGTTGGCACTATCCTCAATTTATTTCTTGCCCATTATTACTTCAAATTTGTTGTTGCCCTCTCAGATCTGTAGGTAAGCTCCGTTCAAACTCACTTTTTTTTTTCTTGCTTTGATAGACTTTTGTGCTCATGAATTTAGCTCTATTGAGCCTTAGTGCTTATGATTTTAAATTCCCCCAATGTTGAAACCCGTAAAACTTGAGAGTGATTAAATAATAAAAAAAAAATTTGCTCACAAGTCTGTGGGTGAAGACTCAAAACCCCTTGCCTTGAATTCTACATCCTTGCTCAAAAATAAATTCCTGCTCTGACACATTTCAGATTTGTGAACTCTAGTGGTAATTTTGATTTCAATAGTGCTCTGTGCCAAATCTGGTCTTATGCCTATCTGATTGATTTGGTGGATATATATATTGAAACCCTTGCTTGAGATTTGTGCTTCTCAGAATTTTTTTGATAGTGCTTGAGATTTGTGCCCCTCAGAATTTTCTTATACTGCTTGAGATTTGTGCCTCTCAGAATTTTCTGATAGTGCTTGAATCATGCTTTGAGATTGATATTGCTCATCTTGTTTGTCGGTTTTTCTATTTGAGATGAATGAATTCTTGTACAAAATCTATGACCTCGAGGCCCTCAGAACCCACACTAATGCGAGTAAGGGCTATCCCTCGAAAGTCCAAATAGAAGCACGGCTGTCTCTCAAGAGTCCAAATAGTGGCACACATTCTACTTCGGCAAGAAAGATCCCTCTAGAAAGTAACGGAGTCTACCAAGCTTGCATCAACAGAAGTAAAGATTGTCTATCGGATGTTCGAGTGGAAGCAAAGCTGTCCTTCAGAAGTTTGAGCGGAAACAAGGCTATTCCTCGGAAGTCCGAGTGGATGTGCACTTCTACTTTGGCAGCTAATGGAAGCAAAGGCTATCCCCTCGGAAGTTTGAGTAGGAGTTCACTCTACTTTGACAAGAAAGATCCTCGAAGCTCGTACTAATGAAGTAAGGGCTATTCTTCGAGAGTTCGAGTGGGAGCACACACTCTACTTTAACAAGAAAGACTCTCGAAGCTTGCATTAATAGAAGCAATGGCTACTCTTCGGAGGTTTGAGTAAAAATACACACTCTGCTTCAATCGAGAAAGACCCTTGAAGCTTGCTCTGATGGAAGTAAGGTATGTTCTTCGAAAGTCCAAGTGGGAGCACACACTCTACTTCAACAAGAAAGATCCTTGACACTCTTTGAAAGTCTAAGTAGAAGAACACACTCTATTTCAACAAGAAAGATCCTTGAGGCTCGGACTGATGGAAGCGAGGTCTGTTCTTCGAAAGTCTGAGTGGGAGCACACACTATATTTCAACAAGAAAGATCCTTGAAGCTCGCACTGATGAAAACGAGATTTGCTCTTCGAAAGTCTGAGTGTGAGCACACACTCTACTTCAACAAGAGAGATCCTTGAAGCTTGCACTAATGGAAACATAAGAAAGACCCTCCAAGCTCGCACTAATGGAAGTAAAGGCTATTGTTCGGAAGTCCGAGTGGGATCACATACTCTGCTTCAACAAGAAAGACCATCGAAGCTTGCACTGATGAAAGTAAGGGCTGTTCTTCGGAAGCCCGAGTGGGAGCACACACTACTTCAGCAAGAAAGATCCCTTTAGGTTGGTAACCGAGTTTACTATTCCTCTTTCTTCTTTGAAGGGCAACAAAAATTGAAAATTGTTTCAAACAACATAACACAATGAAAATACACAATATAGAAAAAATAACTTCCAATGGAGATACAAAATATGGAGAAAATAAATTTCCTCATAACATAAGAAAGATAGAACTTCTTGAACAATGTAGTAAATATAAATTGTAAATGTCATAGATAGACTTCTTCTACGGAATGTCGACATTTGTCCCTAAAGTTGTAAGGTCATTTGGAAAACTTTCACCAGCTGCTCGGGTTGTGGCCATCATACACCATCATAGCTACGTCTTCTAAGATATCCTGAGCCCCTTGTTCTTTGAACTCTAGCTCATGTGCTTCAACTTTCTTTCTAAAGATTTTCTTAAGCGTCCGGCACTTTTCTGTAGGATGTCCTAGTGATCGGTGGAAAACACAATAATTAGGGCCCTCGCAGTCCTTCTTCGGCAAAAGCTCTTCGATACGAGGCAACTTCAGTTCCCCGTCAGCCACCTATTCTTCAACTAAGGCTTTCACCTCCTCAACACTACACGGAAAAGAAGTGTCATCTTCATAGTTGTCACGACCCAAACCCGCCCCTATGGGTTTAGCACCGTAACCGGCCAGTAATCCGTGATTACCGAAGGCCTGCCTAACAGTAATAACAGTAACACAGA